TATATATATATAAATTAATATATATATATATATATATATATATATATGAAATACAAAATATGAAAATTTGAGAAGTTGTTTACTACGATTGATTTTTAAAAATAAAGTCTCATGAGATCACGTACAACTCGTAGTGGTTCGGAAAACTTTGATTTTTCCGATTAAAGGGACAATAGAGACAATATCTCGAGTAGCGCTCCCGTGGGCAACGAAGGGGAGAAAACGTGCAAGCTCTCTTATCCTGCTTCGAAGTCGTGGCGCGGTCCTTTCTGATCGATCGCTTCCGGTTTCAGAATATAATGCAAGTCGCGTACGATCCGGAAAATGAGCCCGCCTTTCTCGTTCTCTGATTGGAAAACTACGAATTGCTTCCTGCGGACGATGAATGCCCGCGACAAAACTGGGATGGAGACGGGGATGCGTCCGTAAAGAAATTGAGGAAGTTATGAGGGTCACATGCTCTAAGTAAGAAAAACATATTCAACATATATATTTCCCTGAACAAATCGAATGGTTAGAATAAATCCCATCGTGTACTAAATATGTCACTTACCCTACTAAAACATAAACCTGTTTATAATACGTTCCTACTCGAGATTTCTGTATATATCGACGATATGTTTCGTTTTGATATAGTCATATAAACGTATATACGAGCGTGGAGCTGTTACGATATACTCAGAATGTTCGGTTCGGAAATCACGGGCTAACGATACCGTCTGCCCTAAATCACGAGATCGCTCGTCCGCATCGAACCCTTTAGGAGTTTCCTTAACGGTATCGAGTGCGGAGCATCGAATGGTAGAACGACCCGAGTTATGACCTGCCTCAGCGCAAGGCCACTTTTCCACAAGTTTCTTTTTTCCATCAGCGAGAACTTTTATACTTGACCTTATCGCCATCCCTTACCTATCCCGGAAATAAAAAGTAGGAGGCAAACGGCTTGAAAAAAAGCAGAGAAATGGGCTCGAGTAAACGACACTTCCGAGAGAGAAAAAAAGATATTGTGGACGTATTTGAGCGGAAGGACCTCCTGGCTCGGCCATCTCTATCGATCGCGCGATATTCTAATAAGCGACACATGAGGGAGTCAAGTTATGATATAACATGAACATGATTTTGCTGCGCTTACTACATGAAAGTCGAACCTTGTTACAAAGCACACGTAGCAATCTGCATCTCATCACTAATATCCCAAGTTTAATACACATATTAACGTCATGTATTTTTGTTGCCACTATGTCAGTAGTTATTTACGAATGTCAACAAGAGATGGAGAAATAAATGATTTAGCGAGATCTGTCAAAACAAAATGTCTAAAATTTCTTAGTTTAAGAAGACTACTATTTATCCAACTTAAATTTCTATGCAAATAATTTCACTTTAAACTTCGGGTAAATAATAATAAGGTCAGTAATAAACATGAAAAAACGAGAATAATGAATAAAACGAAAATGGAATAGAAATAAAAAACTAAGAAATACCTGCAGCAGCTTAAATTATCGCTCGACGAAGATCCCGGCAGGACCTTCGACCTATCGCCGTGAATAACATCTCCTCTTGGGCCCTCCTTTACTTTTCGCGACACTGTGTTTTTTATTCCCCTCCCGGATATCGACGTAGAGAAAGCTATAACGCTTTTACGGATCTTACGACCTAAGAGAACATCCGCGCAAAGCTTGATTATCTTCCAGCTTAACCCACTGACGATCAACTACAGCAAAACTGTTCTTCTTTTTATTATTATTACTTGATATTACAAAAATGTTATTAAAGAAATTCTCGAAATAGTACTTTTAGAATTCTATATACATTATATGTGTGTGTGTGTGTGTGTGTGTGTGTGTGTGTGTGTGTGTGTGTGTGTGTGTGTGTGTGTGTGTGTGTGTGTGTTATATTTTTATTATATATATATATACTTTTATTTATATATGGAATGCTGTCATTTAATTAATATATTATACACAGCCAATCTTTATCATTAGATAATCATACTGTTTTATATCATGAAATAAATCCTGCAAACTAAAACAAGGACAAAAGATTAAAAGAGAAAATCATCGTAATGCTAAAGAATACTTGAGATGAGTTAACATTTTCAAAAATACAACAAAGTTATAATAAAACGACCTGTGTAAATAAACTGCATTTTGTTACAACTTCAACAATAATTACATCTTTGCCTATTACAACAAAAACATGACTAATAATAATGATAGAAACACTATCATAATACACGCAAAATACAATCAAAAATAAGCAGAAACAAAACAAGTAATGAAATAAGCATTTCTTAAAACTTTCTTATGTGCGTGTAATTCTGTCCGTATCTTTTGATACTGAAAAAAAATCCATAATAAATATGAGGCAAATGTTGACATTAATTAATCGATATTAATTAAATAAGACTTAAATATTTGTTATATTTTTATAATGCTCACGTGCACACTAGTGTGTTATCGTGACATTATAAAAAAGAAAAAAATAGAACTAGAATAAAAATAGAATAGTAAAATCATATTCATGCGTTATTCTTCGCAGCAGATTCGTACATATATAAGCAATCTATATATCCCATGTCACGGAAAATAACAAATCATAAAAAAATAGATATATTTGCCGCTAATTAATATAACAGCATAATATAAAGCTAAGAAGGAAGACTTTTGGATTCATCGATTTTCGAATCTATATATTTGGCACGCTTCTCTTCTACTAATAACCTATCAATGTATATATCTATATCGGCCTGACTGACATCAATCAATTGTAAACCCAGCATGGTACCGTTGACTGGCGAAAGATCATCGAACATCGTCTCGACGACTACCGAGACAAAATTCTTGTCCAACACCAACTCTTTAAATTTGACGCAATCGGTCACGGACCAGTCAACATTTATCGGTTCGATTCCTAATCAACATCAAAAACCATTATTAGAATTCTTCATGGAAAAATGAAATGATTACGTTCAGATTACGTTCAGAAAACATAACTGAATAACTTATAACATAATTGATTTAAATTCAAGGATAAATTCAAGGAAGGAAATTAACATTAAAGACTAATCATTGAACACTCACTGATCATTCTGTTGAACGCACTCAAAGTTGAATGCAAATAATTCGCAAAAAATGTAAAAAAGAAAATTATTATTCTCTTACCGACAAGTTTAGCCTTCACAGCTTGATACGCCAATTCCAAGAATTTACTCTGCAACGGTTGCATACTACTACGCTTTATTATTGTAACATCTCCATAGTCGCAAAAATATACGGATATTTCATTTTCACTAATAATATTAGTAACGTATACTCTAAAGTGAACATAATATAATTATTAACCAGTAATTATATTTCATATTATAAGATATATCGCGTACCTATACCAATCGCCTCGTAAGTTTCCTGCATACAGCTTGCCTTCGCTGACAGATTCCAATGATGGACCATCGTATGCCTCGCAGTATTTTTGTAATTCAATCATCATTGCCTAGAAATGAGAGGATCCGATATATATAAAAATATAAATATAAATGTAATATATATATATATATTATGAATCAATTATAATCTTTAGCGTATTTAATGTTTCAAAGTTCCTTATTAATTTACATACTCTTAATTTGTTCACGTTTTCCAATGGTTGCACGATGAAATGTCCTGGATGCGCAACCAAGGTCACGTGAACGTCAAAATAACTGCCAATGGGCGGAATGATGGGCGGATTCAATTTACCGACAGACTCAGGAGCACGGGAATTTTTGCGCTCCAAACGTTTCTTAAACTTGTTATTGTTATTATTATCTTCGTCGATTCTACACATAAAAAACTTCTTTAATCTTTTTTCTTCAAAAAAACTTCATAATTGTAAAATTAAATAGGACATAATATAAAATAAAAGGAAAACATAAAGATATAAAATATACGCATAAAATATAAAATATGCACATAAAAATATATTCTCGTAAAAAGATAAACAAATATTTACTTTGATAATTCGCCATCATAAATCAATGATGTATTTATCGAAGCCAACATATTATTTGGACCGACTCTCTTGAAAATTTCCATCACTGGAATTCCGGATGAGGTGATCCTGATAACTTTTGCTAAAAGCAAGTCCGTGTCCGAGACTAATTCGCGGAATCTTGTTACGAGCCTCTCATTATACATCGACTGATCGATGTTATGGAGAAAAATGTTTATTGCCTGATTTATCACACATGAACACATATAAATATTAACACATATAAATATTGCATAAAAATCCATAAAATATTAAACATTAAATTTAAACACGATAGGAAAAGTTTGTTTTTCTTATACCTGTGGAGGAATATACTGTAGGGCCTTCGAGACACTGTCCATGTGAAAGAGATATTCTCTCGGTATTAAGATGATCTGACCGATATCAATCAGAAATACTAGTACTTTTCGATCATCAGGAATATCGATTACTTTTGCTCTATACCATTGCGAACCATACTTTACAAGATACGTCTTTGTAAAATTAATCGCTTTTACTGTATCGTTTGTAGATAGTGGCGATATATTTTCACTGTTCAATACAGTTCTGATAAATGAGTTTAATTGGGCATAAATTTTACCATGTTTGTCTATGTGTGTAACATATAATTCAATTAATTTCCCTGCCTGCAAAAGAAAGACAGTTAGGCATAGAAAATTAAAAGACAACATTGATTATAGAATTGCAATTGAATTGGATAGTTACATGTAACTTGAACGCAACAGCCATGTCGTCCAAAATTTTGTTGAATATGACTTGATTTACGTCTATATCTTTGTCATCATGACTAGTATCGTAAAAAGTTACTATTGAATATTCGCCATATTCATCGGTTTCTACACCATGTACTTTCACGTTAAACAATTGGTCAGGTAAAAGATAATTCTCAATCTCCGTCACTATCTGGCTGCAGTCGCGAAAATCTTTTAATCCTTGAAGACCTACTCTAAGAGCCTGTGTAGAAACAAAAACAAATGCACGAGATACGTAAAATGTAATCGAATTAACGTAAAGCTAAGTCGAATAGATAAATTACTTGAGATTTCAAATTGCAGAATTTCTTATCCAAGGGATGCAAAACGTCGGATTTATATTCTCCATCGTATCCCTCGTCGATAAAGAAAACCGTGGCGATTCCGGTTTCAGTATCAAAATCTATGCATTTCACCCTGCGCCAATGATATTCATCGAGAACAGCGTAGAAATCACCAATCACACATGTCACTGATGTCGATTTATTTATCTGGTTGTAATGCCTCGTCATCTCGTTTGTCATATCCACATATTCGTTCTAAAAATATAAGAATAAATTTTAGCTTGCGGAAAAAAGTGAACGAATGAGCGGTATAATAAAACACTCACATTTTGATCGCTGAGCCGAATCCATATTTCAACAGTGCTTTCAACATAAGTGGTAATTACTTGCCAAATATTTGCCTCAGGTACTGGTTGTACATCAGGCACGGCGGGTCCAATAGGATTCAATTGTAGACAGGACTTCTCGTTAAACAGGAAGATATTTTCGGAAACATTTTTGGACGATGGAGAGCTTTCCGATCGCTGAATAAGAAAATATAATATTTAATTCGATTTGGATAACATGCATCTCATACCAAGAGTAAAATACATTCATATTGTATATCACTTTTAGAGTCAAGGAAGATCGGCAAAGTATCGTGGAATCTCCGACGCCCTTCTCTTGATTAATGTCGCCGCATTCCTCAATAATTGTTTGCCAATTATGGGGCAAGGCCTCGCCATATTGCTCGTTGTAACATTCGGGTAGCAAATGCATAAAAACCCCGCTGTGATGCTGAGTTATGATATCCAAAATGCGTTCTTTTATCAATTTCTCATCAGCTGTCGTCACTTCGGGGCTCGATGATTCCTTAGCGAGAGTTACTAGAGCCAAACGCGCTGCAATTTTCTCAGCTTCCTCCTCGGATGTCGCGTCTTCCGGAAATGTATATAACGTATGCATACCAACCTAAAATTCATCGATCAATGTCGAAAATCAGATTTTCTAACACTTTGATATATTTGATATATTTACTTTCACACTGGCATAGATGGTAGTTTTAGTAGAATTTTTCTCTTTCTTCGAATACATTTTATAAATTGGTGGTGGTAAGTTTAACATATTGGTATGAATCTCCAGTTCTTTTCGAGCATCGGGAATCTTGAATGGCGGTGTCATCTTTAAAATACAATTTTAAACTTTTTAAAATTTACTATTGTTATTATAATTTATTTAGAACCCTCGAAAACAGAGGAGCAGAAATTATCTTTCATTCTGCTTTCAAAACTGGTTAACCAGACAGTAAATGACTGCGCGTGTTAGATCACACATCAAAACGATATCGAAAAAGCAATTAAATCTTCTGATGCACTTTATTATTGTTTTCTGAAGAATATTTATCATTTATATGGGTGCATTGCCGTAGCTCATATAGCTTATAATTAAATTAGCTTATAATTATATATATGCGCGCAAAATCGAACTATAATATTAACATTAAAAGAAAAAAATGTATAAAGCTCTACAATAAACCTTTTTGGATTGTTAGATTTGTATCATCTTCGTTTCATCAGTTCTAAATTTGATTCAAGATTCTTTTTAAATCGTTTTCTTACCTTCGGAATATTAAAATTAGATGAGATAGGTGTAGATGTACAACCATTGTTATCAATCGGTGGTGAAGGCGTCGTAGAAGAAATAATTTTGAGTCTTTCGCTTGGTTTTGGGGGTCTCAGTTCCACAATCTTTGGTTTTTGATTTATCACAGGCAAAGCTGTATTGTCATTTAATACTTTGCGTCTTAAATCTTCGATAGTCTTATAATTATTAACACTTTGGTTCACAGTCGCTGTATTAGGATTCATCCCTTTGTCTTTCAGTCTCTAAAAATGTTAATATAATTAATAATGCAGATTTATCAAAAATTTTAAATTTGAGTCTTGCCGTCTGAGACTTCGCTTACTTTAATAGGAGTACTTGGTGGTGTAGTCGGAGTAAAACTTGCTTTGTCGTTAATCGGTAATGGGCACTGTACTGTAGTTTCCATGAGAGGAATAGGTCTAAAATATTATTGCAAATATATCAATTTATCTTGTATAATACGTATTGAACGATTTTAATTGATTAATCGATTTTTCAGAATTCACAAGAATTTGTAATTAAATAAAAAATAGAATAATGTATATAAAAAAACATAGATCATTTCTTATCAGTATTTGTTATTGATACATTATATTTTTTATTTTAATGAACAATACTTGAATATTTAGTTATTTCGAATACTATAAATACCTGCTAAAATCTGTATACAAGTTACTCTTGCCAGGTGTCGATTTAGTGAAACTAGAAGAATTTACATGATTGCTTCTGGCAGACTGAAAACCATTAGATGGAAAACTACCACCTCTGTTATGCCGAGATGGTGTCCACTGAAAAAAAATTCTGAAATTAATTATAGCTCAACTGTTCGTAGCATTATTTCGCTTTTTTATATTAAAACTGCAAGATAGGTCCAATAATTTATAATGCATGCTGTGAAATATATATTCAATTCAAATAATATTGATAATTTATGTTAATTTATGTTAATATTACTTTCTTTTGCGGTCGAATTTTTCGTCGTGCTTTTTGTCGTGAAACTAATTTTGTAAGATGTGCTGATGTTTTGGAAGGTACAGCTTCCACATACAGTTCTCCATTTTTCTTAATCACTGAAACATCTGGTATGTCGCGAACAAAAGCGTCGACAGAGGAATATCCGAATTTTTTAAAGGGTAATATTTCTCCTGCTACCATATGATAATCCTCTAAAAATAGAACATTGTTACATTAAACTTTTAAAATAAATGATTAATAGCTAAAAGAAAAATAATCACTCGATATATTTAAAAAAATATTTGAAAATATTTAGTCAGTAATAATAACAAGATGAATATTGTACTTACTTTTTAAATCATCTAATTTAATACCACCCTTGCATGATATCAAGCAAGACCGCAAATTTTTAATAACTTCGTCTATATCCATGTTTTGATACTCTTAAAAAGAGAGAACAAACAGATATATTTAAATCTCAATTATAAATGATGACCTGTTATAAATTGATATTAATAAGGGATGATACAGCTAATCAAATTATATGACAAAATATAATATGGTGTATTTATAGCAATTTTTAAAACTGAAAGCTTAAAAAATTTAAAAGCAGCAGGAAATCAAATGACAAAGAAATAAACTTTGTATAAAGATAGGAAAACATATACTAATTAATCTTATTAAATACATTTTGTTAGATTGGATAACATATATATTGACAAGTAATTAGGCCAATTGCATATTAAATTATTACACTTGTTCTTTATCGTTACACTAGACTGCACTAAAACTTTCTTTTTATAAATTTCAAACTTTTTACAAATTTCAAACATATATTTATTTCATTTTAAATCTTAAATATATATTAGTTTAATTATAAAAACCACATCTTTCACATGAAACATTCTCAGATCTGAAATATAAGTAGTGTAACATAATCCTAACAAAAACAAAGACAGAAAAAACTATTCAGCAACTATCAATTTCATTACCAAGAAAAAACTGATAAGATATCAAAATGTATACAGTTATCCTTGTTGCTAGGGTATCTTTACAATTATATTTCTCTATTTATATCTCATTTTAGATATCTTACAAAACTAGATGATACAACAAACGATATTAATACTCGTGAAATACGTGAAATTAATAAAACAAGATATAAATATTAATAGCAAAAAATTATCCTATACATTTAACTTCTATCCCCTTCTTAAAAAAAAAATACAATTGTTTCTTCTTTATAAATAAAAGGACAAAAAAACGCAGGGAAAATAGTATAAAATATTTTTCATTACATTAAATGTGTCCCCCTCCGATGCTGTGCTTCGTTTTCAATGCGCAAGAATACACTGGACGTGAAACATCTAAATTAAATGACAATACCTTCACCTACTTTCGTCTCAATGCCTGAAAGAGCGGAACGATACGAGCGTGCAAGTATAAAGAAACGGGGACTCGTATATCCCAGCGGAATATTCCTCTCTGTGCACTCTGTGAGAGAGAGAGAGAGAGAGAGAGAGAGAGACAATGTAAAGTTGTCGGTTAAATGAAAATCCAGGAGATCGTCGAGGGAACGAGCCGACGGGTAAACAAACACGACCTCGTAGGAGAAATGTTTCCACGCTTCCTATGCACTGCCATATGCCGTGATTGATGACAGGAATCGGGAATCGAGATCGGAACGATCGCCGCGTCGGACGCGTAGAACGCTATTGGTTTCCCCGTGGCGATAAAGTCGGCCGCGATACCAGGAACCAGATGACGATTAGATCGGGGTCATTAGAGAGGCGGGCGGAGGAAGGAAGCATACCTTCTCTCCTTTGAATGGCGAGATTTCGCCGCCGCCGCCACCGCCACCACCACCACCACCACCACTACCGCCTTCGCCACCGTTGTGTCGTCGTCGTCGTCGTCGTCGTCTGTTACTGTGCACTGAGTGACGACGAGTCGGCTATCGCGGTCACCGTTGTCCACTCGCAGGAATGTTCGTCGACAAATACTAATTAGATTGCAATTGCCCCTTTCGTTTACTTTCCGTTCTCTCTACCGGTCTACCGAGGAAGACGCACTATGCACGACTGATTTTACGTCGACGTTACGCCAGAGACGCGCACTCACGAATGTACACATACATATACATATTATATATATATATATATATATATATTATTCAGTATATATTATATATATATATATATATATATGTGTGTGTATATGCATCTCTTTCTCGCTTCTCC